CCCTAGCCAACATGCTTACCAGAAAGCAAAATCAACAATTACCGCTCTCCATGCTTTGACTAGCACCTTAGAGGAGGCAATTGCAACCAAAGAGATAGCCCTTTGTGTTTTCATAGATATAGAGGGTGCGTTTGATAACACCTCATATGAATCCATAGAGAATGCTTTAAACGTAAAAGACATACATCCGTCGACAATCAAGTGGTGTATAGCCATGTTGAAAAGTCGGCAGATCACAGCCAGTCTGGGAGGCGAGTCGCTGACTATAAAGGCGCTAAGAGGATGTCCCCAAGGGGGAGTTCTATCACCTCTACTATGGTGCCTGGTAGTTGGTGACTTGATGAACACCCTAACTAAAAACGGATTTAATATACAAGGGTATGCTGATGGCCTGGTAATCACAATCCGAGGTAAATATGATTCAATCATAACTCAGCTAATGCAGAAAGCCCTACTACTCACCAGTACTTGGTGCAGAAGCAATGGGCTCAGCATCAATCTCAATAAAATCGAAATAGTCCCTTTCACTCGGAGAAGGAAGCTACAAATAAAAGCACCCTCCATTGAAAGCAGAACTATTAACCTCAAAATAGAAACTAAATACCTAGGGGTAATACTTGACAGTAAACTAAACTGGAACTCACACTTAGATAAGGTGAGGAAAAAGGCCATCATGGCAAACCAGATCTGCCGCAGGCTCCTAGGAAGGAACTGGGGTCTCAAACCACGAATGGCTCATTGGGCCTACGTAGCAATAATCAGACCCATGGTCGCCTACGCCTCATTGGTTTGGTGGCCAAAAACAAAACATAAGACAGCTCAACAACAGCTGGCACAAATCCAGCGGTTAGCATGTCTTAACATAACGGGTGCAATGAGATCCTGTCCGACGGCTGCTTTGGAAGCCCTACTCGGTCTCACACCGCTCCACATATATATACAAAAGGAGGCAGCCTTAAGTGCCTTATCACTGAAAACAGTTTCTTCACTCAAGTTGATGCAGGGTAATCTCAGAGGACACCTCGAGATCCTCAAAGACCCATGTCTAAATCACCTGATTGAAATTAAAACGGACCTTATACCGACGGAATACAATTTCAACCAACCGTATAAGGTCATATTTAGTAGCAGGGATGATTGGGCGAAAGGAGGGCCTCAACTAAAAAGAGGAGCCCTAGCCTGGTACACCGATGCTTCAAAGACAGTAAGATCTGGAGTAGGCATGGGCATCAGTGGACCAAATAGCCACATCAAATTGCCCCTCAGCTCGGACTTAACAATTTTCCAAGCAGAAGTTCTTGCTATAAACTTCTGCACCGCTTTGAACCTACAGAAGGGACAAAAAGGTGCATCCATAAACATTTTCACAGACAGTCGGGCCGCCTTAAAGGCAATTCAGGCCTACACGTGTGGCTCCGCACTGATCAGAGAGTGCACCAACAACCTGAGAGAACTCGCTAGGGGCAATGATGTTACCCTATGGTGGGTTCCAGGTCACAGCAACATTGAGGGCAATGAGAAGGCCGACAAGCTGGCCAAAGAGGCAGCAAACACGCCCTTCATTGGACCCCAACCTGGATGTGGACTACAAAAAAGCCACCTAAAACAAATAATCAACAACTGGGAGGCTTCAAAGATAGCCTTACGCTGGAAAGAACTTCCAGGTCACAGACAAGCGAAGAGTATGATAACTCCGTCGCAAAACAAAACCAAAGAGGTTTTATGCCTCAGCAAAGGGGATCTAAGAACGCTCTCAGGCTACCTAACCGGCCATGTGCCCCTAAAATACCACCTCTTCCACATTGGACAAGCTGAGGATCAAACTTGTCGACTTTGCAACGACGAGTCAGAAACTGCTGGACATATACTGTGCAATTGCACAACGTCTTCGGTAAAACTCCCCTGTTACCTACCGACATAAAGGTTCAAGACCTCAGGACAATACTAAGGTTCATTAAGGACCTACATTTGCCCTAAACCTTTGGAGGGCTAAAGTTACAATAGATCTTATAGGTCGCGGTAACGAGAGGGGCCGCCCTCCTCAGCCCGGCAGCAATAATAATAATAATAATGCTATGGAAACAATTGATAGATACGTTTGCAAACGTAAGTTTCGGTGATTTCGTACCGCTAGCTTATTAAGTGGTGGTGCTCCATCGTGTTGAAACCATTTAAGCAAATGACGTGTCTGTAGAAGCAATTCATCCAACATATTATCGAACTCGTTCTGTAGAAAGTGAAGATAACGATCTCCGTTTAACATATCATTCCCTATATCTCATCCTGTATATTTAAATGGTCGGTTATCTCCTAAAGTAAAATATCTAGCAAAAAATGTTAAGCCATAAGTTTCACTGTTTTTTAAAATCAAAGACAAATTAAGTATACAAGGTCATAAGAGTCATCAAAAGTTATGATTGTTGCGTCAGTTACGTTTTCTTTAACGAAACACCCTGTATATTATTCCATATTGCGGTTCATCTCGAAATTCTAAACAAAATTCAAATCAGTCCTATAAATTACACAAAAATAATTTAGACAATGATGTTCATAGTTTATCAAGCTACCTTTGAAAGTTTCTCATCTCCATAGCAACGCAATGACATAAAACATGTCAAAAATACAAAAATAGTTTGAATAGATTCGTAAATTTTTAAAAGCTCGATATTTGGAAAACGGTTAAGTTTAGGTTTATGGTGTGCTACATGAATTTTATTTAGAATTTTGAGATGAACCGAAATATGGATTAATATAGAGGCTCTTCCCTTAAGGAAAACGTAACCTTGTTTCGTCATAACTTTTTGACTGACCCTGTATACTTAATTTGTCTTTATTGTAATGGATTTTAAAAAACACTAAAACTTTTGTATCTTAACATTTTTCGCTAGCTATCTTACTATCACCCAACCTGTATATAAAATGTCTAATCCTTTTTTCAGGATTTTTGATCTTATTAAAATCTTCTTCGATTTCGAGAATACTTGGTAATTCTTAGGATATTGTTACTTTCATTGATATAGTTAAGTATATCCTCTCTATCGGTCGGTAATATAGTGTTGTACCTGTAAGCAGTTCAACCCGAAAGCAACTCAACTTGAAAGGAATCCAACTCCATCGCAATCTGAAAGAAATTGAACTTGAATGAAACCCAACCCAAACCGAACGCAATTCAAACTAACTGAACCCAATTTAAAAGTAACTCACCCCGAATGCAACCCAATCCCAGTAACTCAACATGAAAGCTACCTAACTTTGCAAGCAACCTAATTATAGACCACTCAACCTAATGTGAAAACAACTCAACCTTAAAACAATCCAATCCAACCCGAAAGCACCCTAACCCAATCCGAAAATACCTCAACCCAAGAGGAAATCTGCTAAACAGACTGTAAAACTTTTCCCCCTCCTCTTCGGAATCTAGCGAATTTCTTCAGGGCTCTTCTTCCAAATGACTGGAAAACTTCTATTCCTCTATTGTTAACTCTATTATTGTTCCATTCTAGCTATATTATTTTTATTTTATTTTATTTATCATTTATTGCCACAGACAAAAATACAAAATTACATAAGATACACTTAACTTAAACAGTATCAGCAAATGGATCATTTTATCGCACAGGCGATCTCTGCCAAATGACCCAACAGAACAAACAAAAATAAAAATAGTATTTGCTGAATATGGCAAGTAGTGATAATTAGATATTATTAACATCACCAAATAAGATTAAGCAAGAAAAGAAAAACAAAGAGAAAAATAAAGAAAAGACACAAAAAGAGAGATAGAGAGCGACAAAAGAAACCAAAAGAATCTGCCGTATATCAGTTGCCAACAAGTGAGAGCAGTTGAAGAGAGGAAAAAAAGAGAAAGACAAAGAACAAAGAATCAGGAAACAGCCAGTTGAAGGGCAAGCAAGTGGCTTTTTAAAACATGTCTAAAATTAGTAATTCTAGAAATATTACGAATTTCAGAAGGCAGTCCATTCCACAGCGCAATCGACTGTACTGTAAATGATCTATGATAAATTTCAGTGCTATGAACGGGAAATGTAAGAATAGTATCNATGTGCAAGGTAAATAAATAAACTGGGCATAAACCGAACTACTCCCAGCATAATAATCAAAAATAATCAAAACTGAATGTACTTTTAAAGAAAAATACTTGAAACAAGAAAAGAATTATAGCCTATTATAAACAAATCATAACCTACTCCACAGCAGCCCGGCCACGGGTAGTCATCCCGCGACGACGGAGGACACGGGGGCACCCATCAAGATCGGACAAATTACGTATGACCTTCCTCTTCTTACCATCCCTTGATAACGAGACAGCTCTTCTGCTATTCCTCCTCTCGACGACCTCCACCACTCTGATCCCTGCGGAATTCCGGAGGTGACAACTCTGTCCTTTCCTTCTGATAGAAATTTCTTCCTCTCGCAGCGGTAAGATTTCAGTATTCTTCTTATCCAGTGCCGAACTTCCTTCTCCTTCATGGCCTTCCTTACTCCTTTCCAGGACACGGTCTTGAATGCATTATAGTCATCACTGCATCCAATGTACCCTTTTCTCTAGTGTTACCTGTATACAATTCAACCCGAAAGTAACCCAATTCGAATGCAATACAATCCAATCTAGCAGCAACTCACCTCGAGAGCAACCCAACCTAAACGCAACACAAACCAACTCAACCTAAAAACAACCTAAGATTAAGAAGTATTGCTATTGACGAGAAAGTTATTAAAGCCGAGGCAATATCTTCATTCAATATCCATTACATCGACAATACATCTTAGTATTTTTGGATTTAGAGGTTTTTAAGTTGGTAATCCATCAACTTCTTGTTTCAAGATGTGCTGCAAAAGTATTTGCTTTTCTAATAGGAGTCACTTGTCTTAGTGGTCATTTAGGAAAGCTATTTAATAAATAACACAACTTTTATTTAACATTTCAAAAATCAATTAAAATTCTAACAAAATTTAAATTATATCACAAACTTACAAAATTAAAAACTAAAAAAACAATTTTATAGAAACAATTTATTAAAAACAATTTTCATTAAACCTGACTCGTAGAAATTTCATCCAACTGCTTCTTCATATCCTCCAATTTCTGCATATCACTCATCGACGTATCACACCGATACACGACCAACGAATGATAAAAGTGCACGGCGAATAAAACGAAAATAACCAAAACGGGGATAACGATAACAGTGCTCGCGATGGCCGCCTCAAAACTGTAATCCCAAAACTTCACCCAGCATAAAATCGCCACTTCGACAAGGAACAAGAAGAGGCCGAGAATCGTGGAGAACGCCCATGCGAGTTCGATGAATCCGCGCATTCGTTCGTGAGGGCTTTCTGAGACCAATTCGCAAACGTCCAATTTTGATATGGCGTCGATGTTGGGTAGAATGTAAGTTGAAATCATCAGGGCGAAGATGTGGACGGCCACAAGGACGGTTGTGCAAACGGCGAATAAGACGAAAAGCCATTGAGGTACTGAGGTTGGATCATTTATTTGAAGCTCTACCTAAAATTTAATAAAAAAAATTATTAATTTGCATCATATAACATTATTGTCATGTTGCAGAAAATTTTGACAAGCTACAACGAGTTTTGACACATATTTGATTGTTCCTAATTCATATTTAATGTAGTACTGACGTCTGTTATTGCAAAACATAATTTTGACACAATTCTGATATGTATTACTGACACATTTGATAAAATTCTAATAAATTTATGAGTTATATCTTACACCATTTTAACATAGATTGATGTTAGACATAACTTTGTCGTGTAGCAGAAAATTTTGGCAAACTACAACGACTTTTGACACCTATTTCTGACATATCTTATTCTATTCTGACATGTTCCTGAATCATATTTAATATGATTCTTACATCTGTTATTACTAAACATAATTTTTAATCATTCCTATCAATTCTGATATACAAGTGTTTCTGAAAGTCGTGGCATAATTTTACGGGTCGAAACGCTTAATTATTTGTTGTTTTAGACGAATTTTGAGTTTTAAGTAGTTCTTGGAGTTGTTAATTTGTAGACTGAGCTTGTTGCAAAGTTTGAAGGTTCAGTTCGTAAAATTCAAAAGAATCAATATTGTTGTAAAGAATATCTGTTGAGAACTGCGCTATAAAGTTTAGATAGCGAGATTGTCTAAGATTTTTTTTGATTTAGAGGAAAAAGGCAAAGATATTCAGAAAGGCATCCTAGATTGTCTAGAAAAATCAAAGATATTCAGCACGCTGGATTTGAAGAATAGTTTTTTCCATGTCCCCGTTGATGTCCTTTGGAACTCCTGCTGGTCAATATCAATTTTTTTGAACACCATTTGGGCATTGCAATTCACCTTCAAAGATTTGATAAAGGATGGAATGATTCTAACATACATGGATGGCATTATAATTGCAGCTGAAAACGAGATGCAGGCTCTGGAAACATTGAAAATATGTATTAAAGGTTGCTAAACATCACGACTTGGAGATTAATTGGAAAAAAAGTCAATTCTTGAAGTCAGAAATAGAGTATTGGGGTTCTGAAGTAATTAATGGAAGCATTCGACTATCTCTGAGAAAAATTGAAGCTGTAACAAAATTTTCAAATCTTAGAAATCTGAAGCAGTTCCAATCATTGTTGAGCATTGCTCGTTATTTTCGAAAATTCGTCAAAAACTATTCGCTGATAGCTAAACCATTAAGTGTAACCGTTGAAAGATTAAAGACCATCTTGTCAGAACGTCCTGTCCTTAAAAATATACCAAAATGATGCTAAAACTGTTTAATTTGGTGCAATACTGATGCAAGACAGTGAAGATGATCAAAAATTACATCCTGTGTATTATATGAGTCGGAAGACAACACTTGCTCAACAAAATGGATGCTTTTAGTAAATTTACTTGGTTATATACAACCAAAACAGTGAACAGTAAAAAAGTGATAAGAAAACTAGATAATAGGAGAATATTTTTGGCAATCAAAGTTGGAGCAAGTTGGGGAAAACTGAAAATATTTTAGCTCGGGTAAACCTGTATATAAATTTCGTTTTAGTTTTCCATATACATATAGATTCCTCTCATCGTGACAGACCCTGTACATTTATGGCTATTTTTCTAAGGTATCTTAAAAAGGGTGGCAGATACCAGAATAACGCATCAGACCAAAAAGTTGAAGAAAAGCTGCCATGCTCCCTATGCCTGGAGATGGTATAAGAATCAGGAAGACGAAAAAATAGGACACCCTGGTAGTGTGGCTGACGATTTAATTTTATTGACAGTGTTGATAGTTGGAAGAAATTGCTTGGCACTCTTGATAAAAACAATGCACTGGTCGTCTAATGTGGAGTTTAGTTCCATGACTCTTAGAGAGTCGATCACCAACCAGTCATGCAACTTCTAGCAGACCATGCAGCTCTCGTTCTGCCGTGACTAAAGGAGAAAAATCGTTGCTTGCTCGCTCCTTTAAGGTTGATAATGTTTTCCATATTCAAGGAAAGAAATATATTAGGAGGACGAGAATCTGAAACCTTTTCTATAACAACTGTTTTCATTTCAAGTACTTTTCGTCCAACTTTCTTCAGGGTTCAGTTGTTTACAAACATTCTCATTTTTTATCTCGTTGCTCTTCGTCTCTTTCTTTTCTCCCCACCTTTTTTTTTCGTTGGTGATCCTTTTTTTTTTTGATATTTCAGGTTTTGCGATTTCTTCACTCCTAATCCATTCCTTCATTTCGGTTCTTTTCATAACTTCCGCTAATCNGCTACAACATTTGTTCAAAAAGTTTTTCTGTATCATGCTTGTAATACCGATTTCTTTTCCATTAGCAAATTGTGAAAGTAGGAATTCTTCTAATTTTTATATTTTCGAATATTTCTCTACATTGATGCATTTGAGAGCAAAAATGTTAGATAACAAAGTGTTAAGGGTAAAATTTGCTACAAGTTTTGTTCAAAAAGTTTTTTTGTATCATGCTCGAAATACCGATTTTTTTTTCATTAGCAACGTGTAAAACTACGAATTCTTTTAATTTTGATATTTTCGAATATTTCTCTACATTGATGCATCTGAGATCAAAAATGTTGGAGAACAATGTGTTAAGGATAAAATTTGCTACAACTTTTGGTCTAAAAGTTTTTTTGTATCATACTCGTAATATCGATTTCTTTTCCATTAGCAACTTGTGAAACTACGAATTTTTCTAATTTTCATATTTTCGTATATTTCTTTCCATTGATGCATCTTAGAGCAAAAATTTTAGAAAACAATGTGTTAAAGGTAAAATTTGCTACAACTTTCGTTCTAAAAGTTTTTCTGTATCATGCTCGGAATACCAATTTCTTTTCCATTAACAAATTGTGAAACTACGAATTCTCCTAATTTTCATATTGTCGAATATTTCTCTACATTGATGCATTTGAGGGCAAAAATGTTAGAGAACAATGTGTTAAGGATAAAATTTGCTACAACTTTTGTTTTAAAAGTTTTTTTGTATCATGCTTGCAATAGCGATTTTTTTTCCATTAGCAACTTGTGAAATTACGAATTTTGCTAATTTTCATATTTTCGCATACATTGATGCATCCAAGACCAAAAATGTTAGAAAACAATGTGTTAAGGGTAAAATTTGCTACAACTTTTGTTCTAAACATTGATGCATCTGAGAGCAAAAATGTTCGAAAACAATGTGTTAAGGATCAAATTTGCTACAACATTTGTTCAAAAAGTTTTTCTGTATCATGCTTGTAATACCGATTTCTTTTCCATTAACAAATTGTGAAAGTAGGAATTCTTCTAATTTTTATATTTTCGAATATTTTTCTATAATGATGCTTTTGAGAGCAAAAATGTTAGATAACAAAGTGTTAAGGGTAAAATTTGCTACAACTTTTGTTCTAAAAGTTTTTCTGTATCATGTTTGCAATACCGATTTTTTTTCCATTAACAACTTGTGAAACTACTAATTCTTCTAATTTTCATATTTTCGAACATTTCTGTACATTGATGCATCTGAGAGCAAAAATGTTAGAAAACAATGTGTTAAGGATAAAATTTGCTACAACTTTTGTTCAAAAAGTTTTTTTGTATCATGCTCGAAATACCGATTTCTTTTCCATTAGCAACTTGTGAAGCTACGAATTTTTCTAATTTTCATATTTTCGAATATTTCTCTACATTGATGCATCTGAGACCAAAAATGTTAGAAAACAATGTGTTAAGGATAAAATTTGCTACAACTTTCGTTCTAAAAGTTTTTCTGTATCATGCTCGCAATACCGATTTTTTTTCCATTAGCAACTTGTGAAACTACGAATTCTTCAAATTTTCACATTTTCGAATATTTCTCCACATTGATGCATCTGCGAGCAAAAATGTTAGAGAACAATGTGTTAAGGATAAAATTTGCTACAACTTTTGTTCTAAAAGTTTTTCTGTATCATGCTCGGAATACCGATTTTTTTTCCATTAGCAACTTCTGAAGGTACGAATTCTGCTAATTTTTACATTTTCGAATATTTCTCTACATTGATGCATCTGAGAGCAAAAATGTTAGAAAACAATGTGTTAAGGGTAAAATTTGCTACAAGTTTTGTTCTAAACGTTTTTCTGTATTATGCTCGCAATACCGACTTTGTTTCCATTAGTAACTTGTGAAACTACGAATTCTTCAAATTTTCATATTTNAACATTCTCATTTTTTATCATGTTGCTCTTCGTCTCTTTCTTTTCTCTCCGCCTTTTTTTCGGTTGGTGTTCCTTTTTTTTTTTGATTTTTCAGGTTTTGCGATTTCTTCACTCCTAATCCATTCCTTCAACTCTGTTCTTTTCATAACTTCCGCTAATCTTTAGACATTTCTCACTATATCATCAACTCTGAATGCATGGCACCCTAAAGCATGGCTTCCTTCTTTTCTACTGTCTGAGGTCTTCAAATATGGCACTTTGCCTAAAGACGATCCTTTCTATGTTTTCTGTCTTGTTGTTTGTGACATCGACGACCCTGGTTGACTTTGAAATTGTTTCGTTCTCCTCTTCCCAATGGCATCGATTTCTGTTTTAATAGATTTCGAAAAAGCGGAATTCATCTCATCTAATTGATGACGAGCTGTCTCCGTCAAAATGCAGCATTCAATTGCCTTGTCTAATGTGTCGGAATCCCGTTGAAGCAGTTTTTCTCTCACCGCGTCGTCTTTTATGCCGGTTATGAGCATGGTTTTTATTAGATCGTTTTTTAATCCTTCATCGCCGAATTCACAATGCGATGCTTGATTTTTTAATATTGTAATAAATTGTTCTATTGATTCCATACCTTGTCTAAGCGAAAAAAATTTGTAGCGTTCATAAGTTAAATTCTTTTTTGGAACAAAATAATCTTCAAATTTATTTTTTTAAATTTCAATTTTATCTTTTTCTTCTTTTGCAAAATTAAACGTGTTGTAAATGTTGATCGCTTCGTTCCCCAAACAATACAATAATTGTGCGCATTGAATTTTTTCTTCTTTTTTATGCAACTCGATTGCTACCGCATAAATTTCGAATTTTTATTTCCATTTACACCAATTTTCAGCCAAATTACCAGTTAGGACCATTGGTTGTATAAATTTTTGATCCATATTATTTTGTTTCATGTAATTTAATTTTAACTTAACTTCATTTCACGTGTTTTACTCGCAGCGCCATGTCATGTGAATCAAACCACGTCTGGAGATGAACTGAACTTTTATTATTTTCAAAACCTGTTTTATACAACAAACTTAAACTTACATTTAAATATAACAGTCCTGGCTAGCAGAACTTGGTATACATGAGTCTAGTAATAGTAAAGTATAATTTGAAAATAGATCCTATGGTCAATGCTCTTCAAGATGTTAGCATCTTGTTAGCAACTTTTGTTCTAAAAGTTTCTCTGTATCAAGCTCGTATACCGATTTTTTTTCCATTAGCAACTTGTGAAGCTACGAATTTTTCTAATTTTCATATTTTCGAATATTTCTCTACATTGATGCACCTGAGAGCAAGAATGTTAGAAAACAATGTGTTAAGGATAAAATTTGCTACAACTTTTGTTCTAACAGTTTTGCGGTATCATGCTCTTAATACCGATTTCTTTTCCATAAGCAACTTGTGAAACTACGAATTCTGCTAATTTTCATCTTTTCGATTATTTCAATACATTGATGCACCTGAGAGCAAAAATGTTAGAGAACAATGTGTTAATGCTAAAATTTGCTACAACTTTCGTTCTAAAAGTATCTTTGTATCGTGCTCGGAATACCAATTTTTTCATTAGCAACTTGTGAAATTACGAATTCTGCTAATTTTCATTTTTTCGAATATTTCTCTACATTGATGCATCTGAGAGCAAAAATGTTAGAAAACAATGTGTCAAGGATAAAATTTGCTACAACTTTTGTTCTAAAAGTTTTTCTGTATCATGCTCGGAATACCGATTTTTTTTCCATTAGCAACTTGTGAAACTACGAATTTTTCTAATTTTCATATTTTCGAATATTTCTCTACATTGATGCATCTGAGTGCAAAAATGTTAGAGAACAATGTGTTAAGGGTAAAATTTGCTACAACTTTTGTTCTAAAAGTTTTTCTGTGTCATGCTGAGAATACCGATTTTTTTTCCAGTAGCAACTTGTGAAACTACGAATTCTTCTAATTTTCATATTTTCGAATATTTCTCTACATTGATGCGTCTGAGAGCAAAAATGCTAGAAAACAATGTGTTAAGGGTAAAATTTGGTACAACTTTTGTTGTAAAAGTTTTTCTGTATCATGCTCATATTCCGATTTCTTTTCCATTAGCAACTTGTGAAACTACTAATTTTTCTAATTTTCATATTTTCGAATATTTCTCTATATTGATGCATCTGAGAGCAAAAATGTTAGAGAACAATGTGTTAAGGGTAAAATTTGCTACAAATTTTGTTCTAAAAGTTTTTCTGTATCATGCTCGGAATACCGATTTTTTTCCATTAGCAAATTTTGAATCTACGAATTCTGCTAATTTTCATATTTTCAAATATTCCTCTACATTGATGCATCTGAGACCAAAAATGTAAGAAAACAATGTGTTAAGGATAAAATTTGCTACAACTTTTGTTCCAACAGTTTTTCTGTATCATGGTCCTAATACAGATTTCTTTTCCATTACCAACTTGCGAAACTACAAATTCTTCTATTTTTCATATTTTCGAATATTCCTCTATATTGATGCATCTGAGAGCAAAAATGTTAGAAAACAATGTGTTAAGGATCAAATTTGCTACAAGTTTTGTTCTAAACGTTTTTCTGTATTATGCTCGCAATACCGACTTTGTTTCCATTAGTAACTTGTGAAACTACGAATTCTTCAAATTTTCATATTTTCGAATATTTCTCTACATTGATGCATATGCGAGCAAAAATGTTAGAGAACAATGTGTTAAGGCTAAAATTTGCTACAATTTTTTTTCTAAAAGTTTTTAGTTTTCTAAACGTAACATGTTTATTAAAATTTTTCTGATATTTTGTCAAGTACTACCACCCCCTAAAATATCTGCACGTCGGCGTCGTTTATTAACATCCTCTATATTAAATTAATATCTATATTAATATATACCATTGCAACCATTGCAAATCCCGAAAGTAACTCTGAAGTAGTCGCGGTTGCTTTCAATTTCGCCCTGGACATGTGTAATCGTCTCCAGCTTAATCCCTCGGGAGAATTCGTGGCGTAACCTTTATTTTTAAAGTTGTCTTCTTCGCAGGAACATTTACAACTCGTATCAGATCCTCCAATATACACATTTTTCTGCACAAAAATAAAATTAATTAATTTAAATTTCGTTATTAACTTTCATTTTTGAACAATTTTTTAAATAGAAAAATGTTGGATAATAATTACTCAACAGTTTAACTTTAACGTTACTCAACTTTAAAAAATGTTAAATATTTTAACTCATAATTTGCATTTTATTTTTATTTAAAAGTTTTTTAATTTTTTAAACTCACCTGTTTTAAAGGAACGTTATAATTAAAGGTTGCGTTAGAAACGGGTGGCGTACCCCGTTCCCTCCAATGTTGCGTTAACGAAACTTCACTGGTCGTTGGAGAATTCTTGGATAACTCGGATTGATAAAAAAGGCGACTTCGTTGATGAAAAGTTTCTGTGCTAACGAAATTTTGCCGATCCTTACTCGAAATTGGACGCATTTGCAACCAATTATTATTATTATTACCGTTGTTGTATTGCCTCGTTCCCACATTAAGATCTGCCGAGGTGTTATAACGTGTTATATTCGCTCTTTTCGGTTGCGTTGGAAAATTAACTTGAGTTGATTGATCCATTTGATCTAAAAAAAATAAAATATTTCGCAATAAATTTTTATTGTGATGACTAACTCGAATTTTATTTTTAACCGGAAGTCGAAGGTAGAAATTAGATCCAATTACTTCTCTATTATTTAATTTTGTTTTTTCAAACTCGATTTCTAAACCGCTCTCAATCGCGTTTATTTTCCGTCTGTTTCGTTTCGACAACGAACGATAGTGGCAACATTAATGATTGTTTTAAAACAAACTTTACGAGTGTATTGTTGGTTTAAGCAAACCGTACAATACACACTTGACTTCAACTTCACTTTGAGTTATCGCTCCAACTATCGGGTTTTATACGCATTCTCAAGATGCTTTTAATAGACGAAATAACAACAACAATGTGCCAAGGAAAAAAAAAGACACTCATACAGAATCACAACAAAACGATAAAATTGATTAATTTTTGTTTTTTTAATCGAGAATTTGTAAAAAATTTAGATTAATCAGTTAAAGTTGTTAAAAGCCATTCGGAGTAATTAAGATCCTTTAAAAGGGTAAAATATTCGGAGTAAAAATAAAAATAAAACGCTATATGTCTGGAAAGTGATTAATTTATATTAAAAGCTATTCAGAGTCAGTGTGGGACAATAAAATGTCCTAATTATTGAAAAGATTTGTAACTTTAATTGATAAGTAATATTATGTTAACCTGAAATTGATTATGACATTGAGCTGCCTCGGCCTCGGCTTTATCAATTAATAAAGTTACAGATTTTTTCGATAATTAAACCGAGGTCGCTAGCATCTTAAGGTATCCTCAACACCATCCATCCATCCATCCAACATTTTAATTCAATTTTTGACCAGCCTGTATAAAACACTAGTAATCGTGCCAATTTAGAGCGTTTTTGAATTAGCTATTGCTGAAAAATAGGATTTTAAACAGTTAACTATTCTCAAATTTAAACTTTTCTGATTCAATAGCTTACAAAGTCATCGAATATTATTTATTATTATTACAATGTCAAAGAGTATATTAAGACCCTATGTGAAACTACGAATTCTTCTAATTTTCAAATTTTCGAATATTTCTCTACATTGATGCATCTGACAGCAAAAATGTTACAAAACAATGTGTTAAGGGTAAAATTTGCTACAACTTTTGTTCTAAAAGTTTTTCTGTATCATGCTCGTAATACCGATTTTTTTCCATTAGCGACTTGTGAAACTACGAATTCTTCTAATTTTCATATTTTCGAATATTTCTCTACATTGATGCATCTGAGAGGAAAAATTTTGGAGAAGAATGTGTTAAGGGTAAAATTTGCTACAACTTTTGTTCTAAAAGTTTTTCTGTATCATGCTCGGAATACCGATTTTTTTTCTAGTAGCAACTTGTGAAACTACGAAATCTTCTAATTTTCATATTTTCGAACATTTCTCTACATTGATACATCTGAGAGTAAAAATTTTAGATAATAATGTGTTAAGGGTAAAATTTGCTACAACTTTTGTTCTAAAACTTTTTCTGTATCATGCTCGTAATACCGATTTCTTTTCCATTAACAACTTGTGAAACTACGAATTCTTCTAATTTTCATATTTTCGAATATTTCTCTACATTGATGCATCTGAGAGCAAAAATTTTAGAAAACAATGTGTTAAAGATAAAATTTGCTACAACTTTTGTTCTAAAAGTTTTTCTGTATCGTGCTCGGAATACTGATTTTTTTCCATTAGCATCTTGTGAAACTACGAATTCTTCTAATTTTCATATTTTCGAACATTTCTCTACATTGATGCATCTGAGAGCAAAAATTTTAGAAAACAATGTGTTAAAGATAAAATTTGCTACAACTTTNATCGAAAACAATGTGTTAAGGATCAAATTTGCTACAACATTTGTTCAAAAAGTTTTTCTGTATCATGCTTGTAATACCGATTTCTTTTCCATTAGCAAATTGTGAAAGTAGGAATTCTTCTAATTTTTATATTTTCGAATATTTCTCTACATTGATGCATTTGAGAGCAAAAATGTTAGATAACAAAGTGTTAATGGTAAAATTTGCCACAAGTTTTGTTGTAGAAGTTTTTCTGTATCATGCTCGAATACCGATTTTTTTTCCATTAGCAACTTGTGAAACTACGAATTGTTTAAATTTTTTCTGATTTTCGAATATTTCTCTACATTGATGCATCTGCGAGCAAAAATGTTAGAGAATAATGTGTTAAGGATAAAATTTGCTACAACTTTTGTTCTAAAAGTTTTTTTGTATCATGCTTGCAATAGCGATTTTTTTTCCATTAGCAACTTGTGAAACTACGAATTTTGCTAATTTTCATATTTTCGAATATTTCTCTACATTGATGCATCCAAGAGCAATAATGTTAGAGAACAATGTGTTAAGGTTAAAATTTGCTATAACTTTTGTTCTAAAAGTTTTTTGTATCATGCTCGGAATACCGATTTTTTTCCATTAGCAAATTGTGAATCTACGAATTCTGCTAATTTTCATATTTTCAAATATTCCTCTACATTGATGCATCTGAGACCAAAAATGTAAGAAAACAATGTGTTAAGGATAAAATTTGCTACAACTTTTGTTCCAACAGTTTTTCTGTATCATGGTCCTAATACAGATTTCTTTTCCATTACCAACTTGCGAAACTACAAATTCTTCTAATTTTCATATTTTCGAATATTCCTCTATGTTGATGCATCTGAGACCAAAAATGTTAGAAAACAACGTGTTAAGGGTAAAATTTGGTACAACTTTTGTTCGAAAAGTTTTTCTGTGTCATGCTCGGAATACCGATTTTTTTCCATTAGCAACTTGTGAAACTACGAATTCTTCTAATTTTCACATTTTCGAATATTTCTCTACATTGATGCATCTGAGAGCAAAAATGTTAGAAAACAATGTGTTAAGGGTAAAATTTGCAACAACTTTTGTTCTAAAAGTTTTTCTGTATCATGCTCGGAATACCGATTTCTTTTCCATTAGCAACTTGTGAAACTACGAATTCTTCTAATTTTCACATTTTCGAATATTTCTCTACATTGATGCATCTGAGAGCAAAAATGTTAGAAAACAATGTGTTAAGGGTAAAATTTGCAACAACTTTTGTTCTAAAAGTTTTTCTGTATCATGCTCGGAATACCGATTTCTTTTCCATTAGCAACTTGTGAAACTACGAATTCTTCTAATTTTCATATTTTCGAATATTTCTCTACATTGATGCATCTGAGAGCAAAAATGTTAGATAATAATGTGTTAAGGGTAAAATTTGCTACAACTTTTGTTCTAAAACTTTTTCTGTATCATGCTCGGAATACCGATTTCTTTTCCATTAGCAACTTGTGAAATTACGAATTCTTTTAATTTCCATATTTTCGAATATTTCTCTACATTGATACATCTGAGAGCAAAAATGTTAAATAATAATGTGTTAAGGGTAAAATTTGCTACAACTTTTGTTCTAAAAGTTTTTCTGTATCATGGTCGAAATACCAATTTCTTTTCCATTAGCAACTTTGAAAACTACGAATTCTTCTAATTTTCATATTTTCGAGTATTTCTCTACATTGATGCATCTGAGAGCAAAAATGTTAGATAATAATGTGTTAACGGTAAAATTTGCTACAACTTTTATTCTAAAAGTTCTGTACCATGCTCGTAATACCTATTTGTTTTCCATTAGCAACTTGTAAAACTAAGAATTCTTCTAATTTTCATATTTTCGAATATTCCTCTACATTGATGCATCTGAGAGCAAAAATGTTAGATAATAATGTGTTAAGGATAAAATTTGCTACAACTTTTGTTCTAAAAGTTTTTCTGTATCATGCTCGAAATACCGATTTTTTTTTTCCATTAGCAACGTGTGAAACTACGAATTCTTCTAATTTCCATATTTTCAAATATTTCTCTCCATTGATGCATCTGAGAGCAAAAATGTTAGAGAACAATGTGTTAAAGGTAAAATTTGCTACAACTTCTGTTCTAAAAGTTTTTCTGTATAATGCTTGGAATATCGATTTTTTTCCCATTAGCAACTTGTGAAACTAAGAATTCTGAGTCATTCGGAATAATTAAGATCCTTTGAAGAGTAAAATGTTCGGAGTAAAAATAAAAATAAAACTCTGTATGCTTGGAATATAGTAAAAATTAGGACCCATTGAAAGCGATTAATTTATATTAGAAGCTATTCGGAGTCAGTGTGGGACAATAAAATGATTCTAAGGGTCATTAACATTTAAAACATTATGAAAAGCTGAAATTAATTGTCTCATTTAAAGTTATTACTATACTCAATATTATCATTAAAATGATATTGGAGTTATTCGGAGGCATTGAGATATATTAGGAAGCAATGAAACCCATTAGGAGTTTAAGAAGCTTTTGAATACGTATCGAATAGAGAGCAGTTACAGGAATTATTGAGGGTCATTAGTTCCACCGGTTTCGATTCCTACAAATCATCTTCATAACTATTACATTAATAAAAACTATTTAAAACCAATTCTAAAATTTACAAATCATGATCAATTTTAGATAGATATAATATTAATCACTGGACTCGACCACAGGTGACCTCGACTTAATTATTGAAAAGATTTGTAACTTTAATTGATAAATAATGTTATGTTAACCTGAAATTGATTATGACATTAGCTGCCTCGGCCTCGACTTTATCAATTAATAAAGTTACAGATCTTTTCGATAATTAAACACCTTGTGAAGTTACGAATTCGTCTAATTTTCATATTTTCGAATATTTCTCTACATTGATACATTTGAGAGCAAAAATGTTAGATAATAATGTGTTAAGGGTAAAATTTGCTACAACTTTTGTTCTAAAAGTTTTTCTGTATCATGCTCGGAATACGGATTTCTTTTCCATTAGCAATTTGTGAAACTACGAATTCTTCTAATTTTCATATTTTCAAATATTTCTCTCCATTGATGCATCTGAGACCAAAAATGTTAGATAACAATGTGTTAAGGGTAAAATTTGCTACAAGTTTTATTCTAAAAGTTTTTCTATATCATGCTCGGAATACCGATTTCTTTTCCATTAGCAACTTGTGAAACTACGAATTTTTCTAACTTTCATATTTTCAAATATTTTTCTACATTGATGCATCCGAGAGCAAAAATGTTGGATAACAATGTGTTAAGGGTAAAATTTGCAACAACTTTTGTTCTAAAAGTTTTTCTGTATCATGCTCGGTATACCGATTTCTTTTCCATTAGCAACTTGTGAAACTAAGAATTCTTCTAATTTTCATATTTTCGAATATTTCTCTACATTGATTCATCTGAGGCCAAAATTATTAGAAAGCAACGTGTTAAGCGTAAAATTTGCTACAAATTTTGTTCTAAAAGTTTTTCTATATCATACTCGCAATACCGATTTCTTTTCCATTAGCAACTTGTGAAACTACGATTTTTTCTAATTTTCATATTTTCGAATATTTCTCTACATTGATGCATCTTATACCAAAAATGTTAGAAAACAATGTGTTAAGGATAGAATTTGCTACAACTTTTGTACTAAAAGTTTTTCTGTATCATGTTCGAAATACCGTTTTTTTTCCATTCGCAAATTGTAAAACTACGAATTCTTCTAATTTTCATATTTTCTAATCTTCCTCTACATTGATGGATCTGAGACCAAGAATGTTAGAAAACAATGTGTTAAGGGTAAAATTTGCTACAAATTTTGTTCTAAAAGTTTTTCTGTATCATGCTGGCAATACCGATTTTTTTTCCATGAGCAACTTGTGAAACTACGAATTCTTCTAATTTTCATATTTTCGAATATTTCTCTACATTGATGCACCTGAGACCAAAAATGTTAGAAAACATTGTGTTAAGGATAAAATTTGCTACAACTTTTGTTCTAAAACTTTTTCTGTATCATGCTCGTAATACCGATTTCTTTTCCATTGGCAGCTTGTGAAACTAAAAATTCTTCTAATTTTCATATTTTCGAGTATTTCTCTACATTGATGCATCTGAGAGCAAAAATGTTAGATAGTAATGTGTTAAGGGTAAAATTTGCTACAACTTTTGTTAGAAAAGTTTTTCTGTAACATGCTCGGAATACTGATTTTGTTTCCATTAGCAACTTGTAAAACTACGAATTCTTCTAATTTTTATATTTTCTAATCTTCCTCTACATTGATGGATCTGAGACCAAAAATGTTAGAAAACAATGTGTTAAGGGTAAAATTTGCTACAACTTTTGTTCTAAAATTTTTCTGTATCATGCTCGGAATATCGATTTTTTTTCCGTTAGCAACTTGTGAAACTACGAATTCTTCTAATTTTCATATTTTCGAATATTTCTCTACATTGATGCATCTGAGAGCAAAAATGTTAGATAATAATGTGTTAAGGGTAAAATTTGCTACAACTTTTGTTCAAAAAGTTTTTCTGTATCATGCTTGTAATACCGATTTTTTTTCCATTAGCAAATTGTGAAACTACGAATTATGCTAATTTTTATATTTTCGAATATTTCTCTACATTGATGCATCTGAGAGCAAAAATGTTAGATAATAATGTGTTAAGGGTAAAATTTGCTACAACTTTTTTTCTAAAACTTTTTCTGTATCATGCTCGTAATACCGATTTTTTTTCCATTAGCAACTTGTGAATCTACGAATTCTTCTAATTTTCACATTTTCGAATATTTCTCTACATTGATGCATCTGAAAGCAAAAATGTTAGAAAACAATGTGTTAAGGGTAAAATTTGCAACAACTTTTGTTCTAAAAGTTTTTCTGTATCATGCTCGGAATACCGATTTCTTTTCCATTAGCAACTTGTGAAACTACGAATTCTTCTAATTTTCACATTTTCGAATATTTCTCTACATTGATGCATCTGAGAGCAAAAATGTTAGAAAGTAATGTGTTAAGGGTAAAATTTGCTACAACTTTTGTTCTAAAAGTTTTTCTGTATCATACTCGGAATACCGATTTTTTTTCCATTAGCAACTTGTGAAACTACGAATTCTTCTAATTTTCATATTTTCGAATATTTCTCTACATTGATGCATCTGAGAGCAAAAATGTTAGATAATAATGTGTTAAGGGTAAAATTTGCTACAACTTTTGTTCTAAAAGTTTTTCTGTATCATACTCGGAATATCGATTTTTTTTCCATTAGCAACTTGTGAAACTACGAATTCTTCTAATTTTCATATTTTCGAATATTTCTCTACATTGATGCATCTAAGACAAAAAATGTTACAAAACAATGTGTTAAGGGTAAAATTTGTTACAACTTTTGTTCTAAAAGTTTTTCTGTATCATACTCGCAATAACAATTTCTTTTCCATTAGCAACTTGTGAAACTACGAATTCTTCTAATTTTCACATTTTCGAATATTTCTCTACATTGATGCATCTGAGAGCAAAAATGTTAGAAAACAATGTGTTAAGGGTAAAATTTGCAACAACTTTTGTTCTAAAAGTTTTTCTGTATCATGCTCGGAATACCGATTTTTTTCCATTAGTAACTTATGAAACTACGAATTCTTCTAATTTTCATATTTTCGAATATTCCTCTACATTGATGCATTTGAGAGCAAAAATGTTAGAGAACAATGTGTTTAGAGTAAAATTTGCTCTAACTTTTGTTCTAAATGTTTTTCTGTATCATGCTCAAAATACCGATTTTTTCCATGTATATTGCTATATTGCTATCTTTGTCCTGGTTATGAAATATCGCTGAAGACCATGAAGACACATGTTTGCTGTCTGATTTCATCCCCACATTTATTTAAGGGTGCATTTATGCAGAAATGTTGATCCTTGCCAAATTTATTGTGCAAGATTTTTTTGTATAAATGATAATCAATAAATTACTTAAAATCGTTAAAAAAAGAATTTTAAGTGACGATTAAAAAATTCTTAGAAATTTCGTTTCGGAATTCTTCATTTAATTAATTCCATTTAACACCAATTAATTTTTTCCAAATTATCACCTTTTTAAACATTTTTAAACCTTAATTATAACTTATTTATTCACTCATTTATTACAATTATTTTTATTCTTCGAATTTCAGATGGACATTATTTATTTAAGCCGACATTTTAGCGAAAACACCTACTTAGTAGCCGGAAAATGTAGGATATGTTACCAAGAAGACAACAACGTCCAAATAACCGCCATAAACCGCAACTTTCTGATCCAATTCGACCCCGAAAAGGTTCACTTACCCATTTTAAAAGGATGCGATTTCAACAAAAATTTTTTAATCTGTTTAGAGAAAAATCAAGATACGATAAAATTTATTCCTCCGATTTCTCCTTATCATTTAATTGAGGAACAACTTTTCGATGATCCTTGGAAATTATTAACCGCAACGATTTTTTTGAACAAAACCCCACTAAAATCTTGCAAAAATCATTTGGAGTGGTTCTTTAACGAGATTGAGTCGCCACAAAAATTACTCGAAACCGAAATAACCGTCTTGGAGAAATTCTTCGAACCTTTAGGTTTAAAACGAACGCGAGCCACTCAAATTTATTATATGACCCACGATTATTTATTTAAAAATTGGAAAAGTGTCGAAGAAATTTACGGAATTGGGGAATATGGGAGAGATGCTTACAACATGTTTTGTTTGGGGAAATTCGACGTCGAGCCGAAAGATCGATATTTAAGGATTTATAAGAACTGGTATTTGAAGGTTTATCTGGGGAATAACAACAATGACTTGTCTTTGTCGTGAATTGTAAAGGTAAGAATGTTTAATTTTTAATAAACGCAATTTTGCGCTTAATATTGCAAAGTTGTTTGCGTCACAAAGAAAAAACGTGGAATTATTTACTCGTTGACGTCGTAAGCGAGGTCTTTGATGTTTCTATTCTAATTGCGAATTCTTAGAAAATCGTGTACAGATCTTTTTTGTAATGTTACGTTGGAAATTAACGCGAAAAACAACTCAAATTAATCTCTAAATAATATTTTTATTCTTTATTTATATAAAATATATATATTATTTTTCGTGGTTACTTTAAATTGTTTAATAAAGCCGATACGCGAAGCAAAACGATTTGCAGAAGATTAAATTTAAAACAGAAACCTTAATACTATTGTAAGTAGAAAATTAATCAAGTTTTTTAAAGTAATCCATAATTTTCAGAATTATTTTATCTGATTAAAGAATTATGAATATTATTTGGAACATTCCCTCTTGATAATACAAAGGTTTCAAGCTTGCTAAGAGAGGAATAAGCTTCATCAAATGTAGGCACAGCGATAAGTATTTCATTTTCAAGATTATCATCACCCTCATCTGATTTTGAAACAATAACAACATTAGGTTTGTTTTGGTTCAAGAGTCTGTAGTTTCTGAGCCAGAGTCTATGAGTTTTGATTGTAGTTAAAATTACTTACAGAGCGGATTCGAATATTTTATTCTTTGGTAAATTCGACTTATAGAAGTGGAAGTTGAAGAAATTCCATAGTAGTTCAGTTCGAGTTACAGAGAAATTCGAGTTAGGGAAATTCGACTAAGGGCCGGTTTATCAATGTCGAGTTAAATCTGTTAGATACGCAACTCATGGATAAACTTGCCTAACAGATAACCTCAGCGAATCGTTTATCCAGCAACTTTCTACCCGACAGGCAGCAAGCTACGAGATAAAACATAGATGGTACCCCTGAGTGTTAACATCAGAAACGGAAATGAAACGTAATTGGTGAAATTTGAATAATTGACTTTAGTTTATGAAGTGGATATAAACAGCTGATCGTGTTTTGGAGGTTACCATTCCTGTGTGCTTTCGGTATTGTGCTTTGTTTTCGAAAACCTCTTTTATAATGGAATTCCTACATGAATATTTATTAGACAGCGATAAAGATGAGGATATTGTCCAACTCTTAAATTATAAACGACGACCATTATAAACCCCTATTATAAAAGAAAGACAAAAGTCAAAACCACTTTGAGGAGTTGGACGACCACGTTTTTTTGTTAGATTTCGGTTAAAAAATGACACAGTTTTGTCGATCTTGGTTAAAATTGAGACGAGTTTATACTGTATTAGATTATAGATTAGATTATTTTTTTTTTTTTTTTTAATTACTAGATTATTATTTATTTTCTATAACGTTTTTATATTCGTTTGCCAAATCCATCAACAAGTTCTTTTCTGCTGTACTAAAATTTGATGATCTTTTCTTTCTCTTGCTTATCCATCACCACAATTATTATCATATTATAAGCTTAATTTATTTTTGACGTTATATTTTGATTTTATTGTCATTTACTTTCACCAAGCAACCAAACTTGTGCTCACATTTTTTGGACAATATCTAATAGGTAAACCCTTAACCAGTACTTCAATCTGGTGGGTATCCAAATGTCATATTTATCTATAAGATTACCCTAAACTAGGGGTGGATAAACGATTCGTCGACGTTATCTATCAGCTACAATTTTAATTGACAAATAATTCGTCTTAACTAGATATTGATAAACCGGCCCTAAGGCCCACTTTTACCATCCTCCTGATAAACTATCTAGAAGATGGTTGCCATGGTTACGGCGGTTTTAAGCACTCTCATTGGCTAAGGTCCATTACTACCATCTTTTAGTTAAATTTATCTTATAGATAAACCTAAGAGTAATGGACCTAAGAGCTGGATTTATCTATCGGATAAATTTATCAAGAGGTGGTAAAAGTGGGCCTTAGAGAAATAAAAACACATTTGAAACCTAGTCAAACGCTTGAGCTTACGAAAATTATTCGACTTTCAGGATAATTCGAGATATAGAAGTTCGAGTTAGGGGAATTTCACTGTATATACTGCTTATGGAAGTCTAATTCGCAATTTAGCAACTTGTGAAACTACGAATCTTGTAAAATTACGAATTCTGCAAATTTTCACATTTTTGAATATTTCTCTCCATTGATGCATCTGAGACCAAAAATGTTAGAAAACAATGTGTTAAGGATAAAATTTACTACATCTTTTGTTCAAAAAGTTTTTCTGTATCATGCTTGTAATACCGATTTCTTATCCATTAGCATCTTGTAATATTATGAATTCTGCAAATTTTCATATTTTCGAATATTTCTCTACATTGATGCCTCTGAGAGCAAAAATTTTAGATAACAATGTATTATGGGTAAGATTTGCTATAACTTTTGTTCCAAAAGTTTTTCTGTATCATGCTCGGAATACCGATTTTCTTTCCATTAGCATCTTGTAAAATTACGAATTCTGCAAATTTTCACATTTTTGAATATTTCTCTCCATTGATGCATCTGAGACCAAAAATGTTAGAAAACAATGTGTTAAGGATAAAATTTACTACATCTTTTGTTCAAAAAGTTTTTCTGTATCATGCTTGTAATACCGATTTCTTATCCATTAGCATCTTGTAATATTATGAATTCTGCAAATTTTCATATTTTCGAATATTTCTCTACATTGATGCCTCTGAGAGCAAAAATTTTAGATAACAATGTATTATGGGTAAGATTTGCTATAACTTTTGTTCCAAAAGTTTTTCTGTATCATGCTCGGAATACCGATTTTCTTTCCATTAGCATCTTGTAAAATTACGAATTCTGCAAATTTTCACATTTTTGAATATTTCTCTCCATTGATGCATCTGAGACCAAAAATGTTAGAAAACAATGTGTTAAGGATAAAATTTACTACAACTTTTGTTCAAAAAGTTTTTCTGTATCGTGCTTGTAATACCGATTTCTTATCCATTAGCATCTTGTAATATTACGAATTCTGCAAATTTTCACATTTTCGAATATTTCTCTACATTGATGCATCTGAGAGCAAAAATGTTACAGAACAATGTGTTAAGGGTAAAATTTGTTACAACTTTTGTTCGAAAAGTTTTTCTGTAACATGCTCGGAATACCGATTTTTTTTCCATTAGTAATTTGTAAAACTACGAATTCTGCTAATTTTCATATTTTCAAATATTTCTCTACATTGATGCATGTGAGAGCAAAAATGTTAGAAAACAATGTGTTAAGAATAAAATTTGCTAGAACTTTTGTTCAAAAAGTTTTTCTGTATCATGCTTGTAATACCGATTTCTTCTCCATTAGCAAATTGTGAAACTACGAATTCTTCTAATTCTTATATTTTCGAATATTTCTCTACATTGATGGATCTGAAAGGAAAAATTTTAGAGAACAATATGTTAAGGATAAAATTAGCTACAACTTTTGTTCTATAAGTTTTTTTGTATCATGCTCGGAATACCGATTTTTTCCATTAACAATTTGTGAAACTACGAATTCTTCTAATTTTCATATTTTCAAATATATCTCTCCATTGACGTATCTGAGACCAAAAATGTTAGAAAACAATGTGTTAAGGATAAAATTTACTACAACTTTTGTTCAAAAAGTTTTTCTGTATCATGCTTGTAATACCGATATCTTTTCCATTAGCAAATTGTGAAACTACGAATTCTTCTAATTTTTATATTTTCGAATATTTCTCTACATTGATACATCTGAGAGCAAAAATCTTAGAGAACAATGTGTTAAGGATAAAATTTGCTGCAACTTTTGTTCTAAAAGATTTTCTATATCACGCTCGGAATACCGATTTTTTTTCCATTAACAAATTGTGAAACTATGAATTCTTAAAAATTTTATATTTTCGAATACAGGTAAACGTCGTTTTGCGCCGGTTTGGTTTACGCCGATTCACAATTACGCCGGTTGGTGCTGGCGTGGGATTCCCCGGTTCGCCTGACATCAGACGACAATAAAAAAATATAGAGAAAATGGAAAAATGTTAGCATTGTGGATTGATGATGCCAATCAAAAGAATATTCCTGTAACACAAGCAATCATATGCAAAAAAGCACTGTTGATTTTTCTGATTTGAAGGCGCAAGAAATCACTGACGAAACTTTCTTGGCAAGCACTGGGTGCTTCACAAGATTCAAATCTCGAACCAATATCCGTTCAAACCTCGAACGGCGAGCGCTGATGTAGCAGCAGCAGCAGCTTACCTTTAAAAGTTTCAAGAAATTGTGGAACAAGGGAACTACCTTGCAGATCTCATCTTCAATTTTGATGAAACAGGCCTCTATTGGAAGAAGTTGCCATCGAGAACATTTATTTCGCGACAAGAATGTAGTGCTCGTGGATTTAAAGCCGCCAAGGATAGACTGACTGTTCTCTTGGAATCAAATATTTCTGGTTCTTTAAAATTTAAGTCAATGGTAGTGTACCATTCCCAGAATCCACGAGCTTTTAGAGGTCTTGACAAAAGCTGAGAGGGACGAAGTGACAAACAATTAATTAAACGGCGTTTGGCGTAAACTTCTTCCTGGATTTTACAAGGTGCAAGTGTAGAAGTGGTAAATAACATTAACATAAACGAAGACATTATCAGGTTTACACGCGAATGTGGAATCAAAGACGTTACAATTGAAGATGTGACCGGACTGTTAGACGTGCATGAATAACCAATCACATATGATCGCCCTCAATCAGAAAATCCCGAAGAAGAAGAGGAGGATGAGAAAGAAAATGATAGGAAAATCCTAAAAACGGACTATCTAACTCGTATCCTTTCCTCTATAGAAAGATTAACAGGTGAGCTCGATGACATAGATGGGGATTACAATCGAAGCGCAAATGATAAAAGAAGTGTCATAGCTGCCCTCCGACCTTATGCTATGATTCTGCAAGAAAGGAAGCAACAATCAAAGCAAATGAAACTAGATGCTTTTTTCAAAAA